TTTAAACGCTTCATTACAAAATTGTGCTTGACTGGATAGAGACTGCTAAACAATAGTGGTGCTATACTTTTGCATTTTTCTTAGCTTAAAATTCAAACTAGAGAAAATATATTTGTATCATTTCACTCTGTAACTAAAGTACTCATTTTTGCTGGATTTTCAGGCTTCATGTATGTTTACTGCTGTGTTTGTTTCACCTACGACAAAATAATTACAGGAATACAGATTGCTGTTATTTCCCAAGAGGTTTTTTGTTTTATTTTCTAGAATCAACCTAGAAGTATCTTAGTGTCCAATTCAAGTTTTTCATTTTCTTTTCATTATGATAATTTTATTTGTTTCTTTAAACACTATTTCAAGTACCTATATCTCTGTGTTTGGCAGAAAATATACTTTTTAGTTTATTCACTGTTCTAGTAAGTTAGAGAGACTCCTAGCAAGTTTTTTTGTTCTTTAGAAGCTTTTTTTTTCCTAAATTGAGATAAAATTCACACTCCATAAAATTCACTCTTTTAACATCATAATTCACTGGGTTTTAGTATCATCATAAGGTTATATTATCCTACCATCACTGCTATGTAACTCCAGTGTATTTTCATCATCCCAGGTTACTTAGATTATAACTAGTATATTATCACTTTTCTTGTCTATCTTACTTTTAGTTTTTTGGTTTTGATCAGTGTGTGAGACTGAAAACAGCAAGGCAGGAAACTGTATAGTGAAAGACTTATGAGACATTAACCCAGTGCAATTTGTAGAGCTGGTTGCAAGTCAACTACAAAAAGGTGTTTTTATCCACGGTCCCCACATTCCCAGCATTTAAATTATTTCAGAGCAGGTTTCGGGTGGATACACTTGTCTGCAGGTACTTCAGTGTCTATTTCAACACTAGTTACTGACATCCCATACTTCCGCCTCTCTATCATCATTAACTTAGACGCCCGTTTTTATGTGGGTCTCTCTCTGTCCTCTGTGTTCTTTTCTAGTGCTCATTTGTCCATTCCTGTACCAGCTCCACATTGTTTTATTTACCATAGCTTTACAGTATGTTTTGCTACCTGGTAAACATTAACTCTGAATAATATGGAGTACAAAAATTATTTAATCCTCCTAGGTACTCTTTGAAATAGGCAATTTTCCCCCATTCTACAGGCGAGAAACCAAGAATTGGAACAGTTAAGTATTATGCTGAAGTACATGATAAATAGTGGAGCTAAAATTTGAGTCTGAATTCTGACGTATAAGTCAGAACACATTGAGGTTCTTCTGAAAAGGGAACTATTGTTTACAAATTTTGTTCCTGGTTGTTTGAGGTCATTTACATTGTATTTTCTCAGATTTAATCTTCATTATAACCCCTCAGGTATTTTGAACTTAAATCTGTAATGTTTTAAGTGTTTTTAAGTTTGTAAGTTGAATTTCGGTATTGACAATACCAGCATTTTTATGTAAAAAGCGTGCTTTTTGTTTTCCCAAGTGAGTCTATATATGGGGTAAAACCTCTGTGTTTGAAATTTGATATTTTTGGTACTACGCCATTAGATGGCATATGAGAAAGACATTTATCACATTTGATTATGTACATTGTGTTTTTGTCATTGCTGTAATTTTTTAAAATTGCAGTTCATAATGTTAAGAAGACAAGAGGGCTTCCTAATGTTGGCTTGTCTTATCCTCTGCCAACACTCTAAATTGTTCCATGTAAAATAAAAGTTATTCTTGTAAGGTTAAGAGATTGGTGGTAAGGGCTTCCTTTTACTCAACAGACTGTATTAACATTCAAGTGTACTGTGTATTATGTGCTTTATTATGTGTTAGGTTTACTGTGTGTTAAATGCTTGGTAACCTTAATCCATGCCTGACGTACTTCCCAGCACATGGTGGGTCCTTGGTTAAAGTTTAATGATCATGAATAATGAAATGACTTATAAAAGCCTTGAAACTTAGGAGTGAATTTCCACCCTACTTTATAAAGACTTATGAAACATTTCCAAACTCTTGCATTTATGAAATGTTTAACGCACATCTCCAAAGCACTATGCCTAAAATGAAAGTGGATTAGTATTTGGGAGAAAAATGGAAGAAATTAAAATACTGTATCTTTAAAAAAAATATTTTTTCATAAGCACAATATATATCCACCATGCTGTTTTTCTATAATAAGAAATTGCTGAAACATTGTTTCAATAATTTTTTTTTTTGGTACTAATTAGGTAGTATTTTTAAAGAGTATAATCTCAAAATGAAAAATTGCTTTTAGACTTTTGGATAGCAGCCATCCTGACTGGTGTGTAATGGTACCTCATTGTGGTTTTGATTTGCATTTCTCTGATAATGAGTGATGTTGAGCATCTTTTCATGTGTTTGTTAGCCATCTGTATGTCTTCCTTGGAGAAATGTCTGTTCAGTTCTTTGGCCCATTTTTTGATTGGGTCATTTATTTTTCTGGAGTTGAGCTGGAGGAGTTGCTTGTATATTTTTGAGATTAATCCTTTGTCTGTTGCTTCGTTTGCTATTATTTTCTCCCAATCTGAGGGCAATAAATGCTGGAGAGGGTGTGGAGAAAAGGGAACCCTCTTACACTGTTGGTGGGAATGCAAATTAGTACAGCCACTATGGAAAACAGTGTGGAGATTTCTTAAAAAGCTGGAAATAGAACTGCCATATGACCCAGCAATCCCACTTCTGGGCATACACACCGAGGAAACCAGATCTGAAAGAGACACGTGTACCCCAGTGTTCATCACAGCACTGTTTATAATAGCCAGGACATGGAAGCAACCTAGATGCCCATCAGCAGATGAATGGATGAGGAAGCTGTGGTACATATACACCATGGAATATTACTCAGCCATTAAAAAGAATTCATTTGAATCAGTTCTAATGAGATGGATGAAACTGGAGCCCATTATACAGAGCGAAGTAAGCCAGGAAGATAAAGACCATTACAGTATACTAACACATATATATGGAATTTAGAAAGATGGTAACGATAACCCTATATGCAAAACAGACAAAGAGACTCAGATGTATAGAACAGACTTGTGGACTCTGGGAGAAGGCGAGGGTGGGATGTTTCAAGAGAACAGCATCGAAACACGTATATTATGTAGGGTGAAACAGATCACCAGCCCAGGTTGGGTGCATGAGACAAGTGCTCGGGCCTGGTGCACTGGGAAGACCCAGAGGGATCGGGTGGAGAGGGAGGTGGGAGGGGGGACCGGGATGGGGAATACATGTAAATCCATGGAAAAAAAAAAAAGAAGTTCTTAAAAAAAAAAAAAAAAAAAAAAAGAAAAATTGCTTTTGCATGCTGGCTTTCATAGACTGTTTCTCATTTAAATAAAAACCTTTTGTTAAAAGTTATTTGGATTGAAAAGATAACTGTTGGGCCTGTAAGCATTTTCTTTCCTTTCTTTCTTATATTTATTAAGTATTTCTTTAATTTGTTTTATACCTCTCTCCCACTTTCATCAATATATTTACTTATTTGCTCAGTCCTAGTGTGCACATGAAATAGTTCTGGAATTGCTAACCCATATTCTTCTGACAAATAACTTGCTTATCAGAGTACAATATTGTATACAGTTCTTTTTGTCTTTATCTTTACAAAATACTGTTTTCCAAAGTTACTTAGATTATTTCTTCCTTGTCTCCTACAGTGGGTTACATTTTCCATTTATAGCAGAGTTGGGTTACTCTTTGCATTTCATCTTGTTTTCCCTCCATATTCTGATTAATTTGAACCACTTATTTTTAAAGAGATGTAAAACATTATCGTGGTTCAAAGAGTCAGAAAGTATGTCAAAGGGTGTACTTGGAGAGCTGTCAGTTCCAGTCCTTTTTATCTCATTCCCGTTTTCTCTTCCTTCCCTCTCATTTCCACCTACCCCTTGTTAGGTAACCAATCTCGTTATTTCTAATTTCTCTCTCCTCTCTTTTTCTACAAATGAGCAAATATATTTCTCTCTTTCTCTCTTTTTTTTAATAGAAAGGGTAGTGTACTCTAGCTATTGCATTGTGCTTTGATTCAATACTATATCTTATTATATAATAATATTAATATATCAGTAAAGATATTAATACATGAATAATATATCCAGTTTATCCCCTTATCAGTTTATAGAATGCTTTAAAGTCTTTTTTGTAGCTTCTTTATAGTACTCTATTGCATAGATGTGCCATAGTTTATTCAGCCATTCTTTGTCTGGGCATTCAAGGTGTTTCCAGTAGTTTGCAGTTAGACTGCTGCAGTGAATAAATTTGAGTGTATATATTTTTGTTTTGTTGAGATGTATCTTCAGGGTAAATTCACAAGCGTGGGATTGCTGGGTTAAATGGTAAGTGGGTATATTTTAATGTTATAGTAAAATTAGCATCTGGAAAAGTTGTATCTGTGTTCTCACAAGAGCTATGAGGGTGCCTGGTTCCCACAGCCTTGTCAGAATGTGCTGTCATAACAATACTTTTTTATTATCCTCAAGCTGATGGGTGAGAATGGTATCAAAACATTTTAATTTACATCTCCATTGAACATCCTTTCATAGGTTTTAGGGCCATTTTTTCTATCTTTGTCGTGCTCTTTACCAAAGGGCTGTGGGCTTCCCTGGGGGCTCAGTTGGTAAAGAATCTGCCTGCAATGCAGGAGACCCTGGTTTGACTTCTGGGTCGTGAAGATCCGCTGTGTTCCTCACCCACTCCAGTGTTCTTGGGCTTCCCTGGTGGTTCATCTGGTGAAGAATCCACCCACAATGCGGGAGACGTGGGTTTGATCCCTGGGTTGGGAAGATCCCCTGGAGAAGTGCATGGCTACCCACTCCAGTATTCTGGCCTGAGAATTCATGCATCTGGAGGATCGCAGATGGACATGACTGAGCCACTTTGACTTTCACTTTCACTAAAGGATTGTACTGTTTGCATACTGTGTTACTCAGCTTCAGCTTGCTAGGACAGTAGTACTTTATAGAAACCAGACATTAAATATGCCTTTTCTCTTTCAGATCTTCCATGGTGGCTTATTTTAATTCGTCAGAAAGCCTTGGTGGGCAAACTTCCAGGAGACCATGAGGTCTGTAAAGTTACCAAAATTGCTGTACTATCACTTTCTGAAATGGAACCTCAGGATCTTGAGCTAGAGGTAAGGTGAAGTTTCAGGAAATTTCAGGGAACTTGATATAGGTATAATGGCTACAATGAGGATTTGATTTAATAGATCAGAATCATAGAGTTCTAGAGCTGGTTATCTTTAGAGTAATTGAGTCCTGTGGTTTTCAGACGTTGGTGTGGAACCTTTGTTTTAAAATCTATGAAAACCAGCATGTCAGATGCATAGAAGCAGAGTTGCACTGGTTGAAGTGGTGATGGGGGAGGAGCTGCTCCTTGGGGCCATTCCTGTTTGCCTTTGCTGGAAACCCACCTCTGCTTCTGGGGACCCCTGTGTGTGTTAGGCACTCAGTTGTGTCTGACTCTTTGCAACATCGTGGACTGAAGCCCACCGGGCTCCTCTGTCCATGGTATTCTCCAGACAAGAATACTGGAGTGGGTTGCCATTTCCTTCTCCAGGGGATCTTCCCGACCCAGGGATCGAACTCGGGTCTCCAGCATTGCAGGCAGATTCTTGACCGTCTGAGTCAGTATAGCACAATTTGAAAACTGATCTGGGGTGAGGAGAGTCAGGAAGGTTAGATTTAACTTCTACTTTATCTCCTTTTATCTATATGTCTTGAAACTTTTCTAAAGCTATATTTCTCTTGTAGTTTTTTTTTTCTTAAAGTTGGGTTTTTTGTTTTTTTAAAGAAGAAAAAGAAAAAACCCACTGACCTATTAGACTTCCATTTTCTAAAAGGAAACCAAGCCCACAAGTTGAATAAATTAGGGCCAAGATCATGAGATTGCCCAGGGCCAGTGTTTGTCTCTACACTGGCAGAAATAACCCACGAGAGCACTTGTATCATGTCTACTATCAGTGTGGGGATGTGGCATCTAGGGGTGTCATCACACTGTCACAGTCCTGGCCTGTTTTGGTCACTGTGTGATGTACCAGACAGGCCCTGAGGGCTAAATGGATGATCACATTTCGTCCTTTGGGCCATCCTATGCAGTAGGCACTGGTATGATCCATGTTGCGCGGGTGAAGACCAGAGGCTTGGCCAGGATTCGTCACACAGCCGGCTTGTGCTGTGTCTGGACCTGGATGCAGGCCGTCTATTCCTGTGTCCCTCTGCTGGCCTTGCCTCCCTGTTACCTGGACTGTGGTAACAGGGAGCATGGTGTCCACTGCCCCACAACTCAGTATGTGTTTTCTAGGCTGAACTTTGGGGAAGGAAATTTGGGGACAGGGTTAAATTATTTAAAAAAATACATACAGGCATATCTTAGAGATACTATGGGTTTGGTTCCAGACCATTGCAATAAAGCAAATAATTATAATAACATGAATTTTTTGGTTTCTTAGTGCATATACGAGATATGTTTATATTACACTATAGTCTGTTAAGTGTACAAGAGCATTATGCCTAAAAATAAAATACATAATTTTAAAATACTATTGCTAAGATACTAAATGTGTGCCTAGTCACTCAGTCATGTCTGACTCTTTGTGATCCCATGAACTGCAGCCTGCCAGGCTCCTCTGTCCATGGGGATTCTCCAGGCAAGAATACTGGAGTGGGTTGCCATGCCCTCCTCCGAGGGATCTTCCCAACCTAGGGATCGAACCCAGGTCTCCCACATTGTACACAGATTCTATACCATCTGAGCTACCAGAGAAGGCCTCACCATCATCTGAGTTTTCAGGGAGTCAGTCTTTTCACAATAACATCAAAGATCACCATAACAAATATGATAATGAGAAAGTTTGAAATCTTGTGGGAAATTACCAAAATGTGAGACACATGAAGTGAACAAATGCTGCTGGAAAAATGGTACCAATAAACTTGTTCACTGCGAGATTGCCACAAACCTCTTAATTTTTGTTTTTTTTCTTAAAAAGCATCTGCGAAGCACAATAAAACAGAGTATGCCGTAACAATATAGTTATTTTTGTGCTTCAGATCTTTCTGGAAGTTTGACAGTCTAACAAACCAATATTAAAATGAATTTAGGAGGACACTGATACTCTGTTATAGTAATAAAAAAAAGATTCGAGTACTTATTTCCTTTGACTGGTACTAGAGACTGGGGTCGCACAGATTTGGACACGACTGAAGCGACTTAGCATCAGCAGCAGCAGCAGAGATAGAATACTATTCACTATTGCTGATCCTCAGACAAGTAACTTCGGTGGCAGTTGGGCCTGTTAAAAACAAGTGTTTGCAGTTTTTGTTTGCATTTTATTTTAGCAAAGAGCAGACTAAAATAAATTGTATCCATTGATTAAGCCAGTAAATTGTGTCTTTTGGATAACTGCTGACAAATGGAAAGATCAGCATGGCTTCCTGAGGGTGAGCACTCCTTGGGCAGCGTGCTGGTTTGAGCAGTGAGCTGGGGGCCCGGGCAGTTAGATTTAGAGCAGGGACCAGCTCCTCAGCACCTTGGTCACTTGTTAGTCATAAGTTTGAAGATCTGGCACCCCCAGCTCTGGGGAGATGACCTGTCCTTGTCCAGAGGCCTGCATGGGACGCCTGCTGGACTTTTCAGGAAGATGCTCTTCGTGGCCATCAGTCTGTATCATTTGAGATTTGTCGTCATTCAGTCACTAAGTCGTGTCTGACTCTGCAGTCCCACAGACTGCAGCACACCAGACTTCACTGTCCTTCACCATCTCCCAGAGTTTGCTCAAACTCATGTCCTTTGAATCAGTGATGCTACCTAACCATCTCATCCTCTGCTGCCCCTTCTCCTTTTGCTTCCATTCTTTCCAAGAATCAGTGTTTTTTTCCAGTGAATTGGGTCTTTGCATCAGGTGGCCAAAGTATTGGCGCTTCAGCTGACTATTGTATAGATAGTGGGTGGTAGAGGGGGAGGAATCTTCAGGAAATAACATTTAATGGAATTCTAAAACAAAAAAAAAAAAAGTGACTGTGATGATAGCTTTTTAAATGTCTTCTTTCTGAAGACGTTTCCTTTTCTTTCTTGACACTCTCAAGTGAATGAGATCATCTTCACATACAAATGAAAATGAGATAGTCCCACATAGCTGAGTATTTTTACAGTACTGTTGGACAGTCTGAGCGATGGCATTTGCCAGGGTACTAAAAGAACAGTCTGTGTTAAGAGCTGGAAATATATAATGACCCTTGCTGATTAGGGATAAACGTGATTATAGATAAAGTATTTCCAGATCCCAATTTAATGATAGTTTGGCATGGCTTTCTCTCAAGAGAATATAATTTTTAGAAATTTGCATTTAAGCCTTTTTTCCCCTTCCTTTCATCCTGTTTTCTGTTAATGGAGCTTTACAACAGTGAACAATAGAAGGGCAAAGAACAGCTCTGTTGAAAATCACGAACTCTTTGTTTATTTTCTGACATGTTAATTTAAATCTTTGGGATTCTTATTCTAGTTTCCATATAACACCAGTTAAAACGAGCATTTAGAAGTATGATAAATTTTTGTGGGGCTTTTATTTTTTATTATATAGTAAATTGTAACTGAGGAGGAGGAAAAATATTCTCCCACATAGAAATGATCACTGTCAATATTCTGGTTTTTAGAAACAATTTAGTTTTAATTGAAGGATAATAGCTTTACAATATTGTATTGGTTTCTGTCATACATCAGCATGAATCAGCCATTGGTATACACATGTCCCCTGGTTTCCATTTGTCTCCAGCTCTTTGGAGGAGCAATATTTCAAATTTTCAAGGTAGTTTTTATATTTTGCATCTTTGCATATTTTTCCTACTTCTATTAGTTAAAAAAATTCCTGTTATTTTTCATGACCATATGTATCTTATGCACATAAGACTTTCTTAAATGAAGCTGACTCTGAGGTTTTCTTGAAAGTGAAAGTCGCTCAGTCATATGTGACTCTTTGCAACCCCATGGACTATACAGTCCATAATTCTCCAGGCCAGAATACTGGAATGGGTAGCCTTTCCCTTCTCCAGGGGCTCTTCCCAACCCAGGGGTCGAACCCAAGCCTTCTGCATTGCGGGCAGATTCTTTACCAGCTGAGCCACACGGGAAGACCAAGAATACTGGAATGGGTAGCCTTTCCCTTCTCCAGGGGCTCTTCCCAACCCAGGGGTCGAACCCAAGTCTTCTGCATTGCGGGCAGATTCTTTACCAGCTGAGCCACACGGGAAGACCAAGAATACTGGAGTGGGTGGCCTATCCCTTCTCCAGTGGCTTCCCAACCCAGGAATTGAACCAGGATCTCCTGCATTGCAGGCAGATTCTTTACCAACTCAGCTTTCAGGGAAGCCTAGGTCTTCTAGTATGTCTTTATAATTTGGACATCTATGTCTGTGTTTGAATATCCCTTGCTTTCTACCTTTCCCCTCAGGACCCCTGGGCTCTTTATTGTGGTCACTGTTCTCAGATTTTCTAGGACCTCATCTGTCTACTGTCATTGGAGCAGAAGCATTTTGTTAGAGTTGGGAATTAATAGAATTTCTAGTTTTCTACCCCAGTTGACTTTTTACTTTACTTGTATGGCTTATTATGTTTGCCAATTCTTAAAATAATTTTCATACTATACAGTTCATCCATTTAAAGCACATAATTCAGTGGTGTTTAGTATATTCACAGATTTGTTTAGTATATTCACAGATTTGTAACCATCACTGCAATTAATTTTAGAACATTTTCATGACTCTAAAAATAACCCTGCACTCATTAGCAGTCACTCATTTTCCTCCAAACCCCAGGCAAATCCTAGGCAACCACTAATCTACTTTCTGTGTCTATATAAATTTGCCTATTCTGAACATTTCTTCTACATGGCATAAAATATGTAGCCTTTTGTGCCCAGTTTCTTTTATTCAGCACCATGTTTTCAAGGTTCATGCTTGTTGTAGCATGTGTCAGTACTTAATTTCTTTTTATCCCTTTGTATGGATATACCACATTTTATTTATCCTTTCATCAGTTGATGGACATTTGGGTTGTTTTCACTTTGGGGCTGTTTGTGAATAATATTGCTATATATTTATATACAAGTTTCTGTACATAACAAAACTTGTACATTTGTGT